TTTGAATTAAAATTAAATTACAACTACTTATCAAATTAATCATGTGAATCAATGTGTTTTTTATCTATTGTAAAACGTTATGAATGAGGAAATTGCTGAATACAAAATTCCAAAGGCGAATTTAATTTCATAAAATTAAAACAAAAAAGAAAACAAACAAGCCAAGAGTAATTTTTTCAAGTTAATTATGAAGAAAATTGAACAGAGTTTTATAGAAGTCTCAAATGAGAAAAAACATATAGATTAAAAAATATAAGATATAATATAAAATCATGGTAAAAGATGATTGTAACATATAATTGAGAAATCAATTTCTTATTAAAAGTCCGCAAATGTAATTCGAAAAAAATATTTTTAAACAAGCTGTTTTTTATTGTATTTTTTAATACGAGTAGTTTCTTTTTATTACGTAACATATATTTAATATCTGTGATACTATTAACAGATCGTCCTATGCTCAACTTAATATATCGAGCAACAAAATGAATTTAAAATAGACTTCGCTGAGATAAATATATTAATGAGTTTAATTTCAAAACTTAAGTAATAAATAGCGGCTTTATAATTATTTTTAATACATCATCAAATTGATCATATGTTATTTTCGAAAATACGCTTTACTAACATAGACTTTTTTAAATTAAGCAAATTTGATTTTTAACTCCCCGCAGGGTAAGTTATAGTAATCGCAAAAAAATCGAACATGAACATTTTTATATATAGTATAACAATTTTTGCGAAGGCAGGCCTAGCGGTTTCAAAGTTCGAGTGAAAAAAGTAAAAAAATGCCATTTGGCGGTAAAAAATGATCATTAGACAAATGCATATCAAATTATCAGATATTTTATAGAGACTTTAACAATAAGTATGAATTTTGTTGGCATTTGTATGGGTTCCGTATCAATGTTGATCCGTTAGACTGCAGTGCGGTGCTTACGCGCTTCGATATTTTTTCTCTAAAACAGCCACGCAGCACGATTGCTTTCAAAAAATGTTCAAAATTTTCAGAAAAATTAAAAGTACATATACAAAAATTTAGAAATATAAAAAAAAATCAAATTTTTCAAAAAAGTCAATTTTTTTCAGAAATTTTAAAATTCTAAAAAGTTTTTTATTTAATGTTTTCAAAAAAAATTTAAAGTTTTTTTAAAAAAATTAATTCGCGGTTCGGGAAGTTCCTGCAATTTGCCTTAAGGCACGATGCCATGCAACCAGTTCAACATTAATCCACGTGCAACAACTGACTGTAGAACTGCTATAATGCAGAAACATCATTAAGCACATTTCATATAAGCAACTTTCTTCAATAACCAACCCAGAAATAAACTATATCTGTAACATAGCTAAATAAGCATAAATCTGTAATTACCTATGTAGTTAATCTGTAGTTACCTGTGTAATTTAATTGTCTAAAAATATAGTTCAAAACACTGGAGTCCAAATTCGTTGCTGAGGGGACTAAAATTCAAATAAAATTTTGTTTATCGAATCCAAATAAGTGGTATCTATATCACACTTTGTTGAATTGCCATTTAAACCTCTATATTTGGTATTTATAAATTCTAAGGGCAAAAATCTTACCAAAAGTAAGGTTTTCAACAGCCAGCGTATAGTTTAACAACAACTCGAATGCCTACATGCTGCAACTTACACACTTTATATATTTTATGTAATGTTTTTCTTTACTTTTTGAATCATTTCTAAATATTGCCAACTATATTAAAAGATTTATCGTAAATCTATATATTATATTATCGTTTAACGTAAATAAATAGATTTTAACATGATGTATTGTAATCCACTGCCGCGGACCCCCATTTTCATTTCGTGGACCCCCATTTTCATTTCGTGGACCCCCAAATTTTGTTTTTGCCGCCGTGGACCCTTGAAAGTTGCCATGGACCCCTGGGGGTCCATGTGGACCACTTTGGGAATCACTGGTCTAGACGATTTTGAGAAAACGTCGATTTACGGTGAAAAATCTGTTTACACACACACATTATTTTTCCAAATTTGGTCTCATTCGATTCAGCATGGCTTGAAACGTCGAGAAAACATAAAATTAGCGAATGAGATTTTTTGATGAGAACATAAAGTTCTCCTTCGGGAAGTTAAAAATGTTTAGTTTATAACGTAAACATCTCAATGCAACGAAACAAAGACTCATGAATATAAAAGTTTTTAATCTTTTATTTCTTATCTACCTTAGCAATTTATCGCCTTTTAAAAATCTAAGCAATTTTATTTTAATTACCTTCCCGTAGGGTAGTTATAGTAATGGGCCGAAAATCGAAAATGATTTTTTTTGCATTTCTCGACGTTTTGAATGTTTCTGAACACTTTGGAATACCTCTGAAAAAATTATTGTGTGTCCGCATTTTTTCGGGCGCACGGATCAACCGATTTGAATGGTTCAAAAAGCATTCGATTCCTATTGATAGGGAGATGTGCTGATTAGTTTTTGGCAAAAGCAGGCCCAGCAGTTACTGACATACGGAGTAAAAAGTGCAGAAAATACAAATCGAGTTTTTGAGAGATCATAGTATCCGATTTAAATGATTTAAAAAACGTTGAATTTGTAATGAGAAGAGGTGGTTAGTTTTTAGCAAAAACAGGTACAGCCAGAGAACCAAACGTCCAATTTGAATGATTTAAAGAACTTTCTGCTTGTTTTTTTTTCAAAATTTTTTTTTGGGTATATCGAAAATATTTCAGATTTTAATTTTAATTCTGACTAAACTTCTAAAACTCATATACTTAAAATAACTAGTTTTAATATTGCAATTCAGTTTCTATAATTCTTATAAATATTAGACAATGTTACAATATTTATAATATTCTATTTGAAAATATTTAATATTCCTCAAACATTTCGTTACCAAACGGGAAGTTCCAGCAATTTGCCTTAAGGAACGATGCCATACACAACTAGATACGTCTGATATCAGTATTATAACTAATGTTATAATAATGATTATAAGTTGCAAATATAATATTATAATAATGATTATAAGTTGCAAAGTAAATTAAATCATGTTGCGTAAGCAAATGAAAGCAAATAACAAATTAAAAATGCATAAAAAACTTCCTGTTGCACAACAAATCCATTGCTTATCAATATGGATAACGATAAAAATTATAGCATATAACTATTCTCAATTATATATTTTTGTTAGTTTTAATTAAGTATATACTTAAGTATTACTTAGTGTTAGTTTTCATTCAGTATATACTTATGGTATATACTTAATAAAAACTAACAAAAATATATAATTGAAAATAATTATATGCTATAATTTTTATCGTTATCCATATTGATAAATAATGAATTTGTTATGCAACAGGAAGTTTTTTATGCGTTTTTAATTTGTTATTTGCTTTCATTTGCTTAAGAAACATTATTTAATTTACTTAATAGTCCAGTCATTTGGTCGTTTTGCCGGTACAGTACTCCGGGAATTCTGAAAATTAGTAATCTTATAGATTTCGAGGTGCTCTTTACGATAATCAACTTTGCCACCTCAAATTTGAACGGCAAGTTGCCGCCATATTGAAAAAAATGGCGTCAAAAAACAATTTTTTTAAAATATCTCCTTTCTGGCTCATCCTACGATAAAAGTATATATGTACGAATTAAACTAGAGAAAATTTCCTATAATTCCTTTTGTAAAATTGATAGTTTGAGAGTACGGCCGCCTCAAAGTCTTTGCTGCTCTCGCCGTAGTATCAAATCTGTCCATATATGACAGCACTTCGAACTTGACCACATTCTCTCTAATAATTAATATTTTCAATGTTAAATTAAGCGAATAAGATCGAGAAATAAAATAATTCAAATATTTTTCTGTTTTTTTGCTGATTTTTTAACGCTTCAAGCTACTTGAAGCTATAAGGTGCTACTCAAGCTATAAGTATACTTATAGCTACTTTGCCATTGAAGTGTTTAAAAATTAGCAAAAAAACAAAAAATATTTGAATTATTTTATTTCTAGATCTTATTCGCTTAATTTAACATTAAAATATTAATTATTAGAGAGAATGTGGTCAAGTTCGAAGTGCTGTCATATATGGACAGATTTGATACTACGGCGAGAGCAGCAAAGAATTTGAGGCGGCCGTACTCTCAAACTATCAATTTTACAAAAAAACGGTTTTCTAAGGAATTGTAGGAAATTTTCTCTAGTTTAATTCGTACATATATACTTTTATCGCAGAATCAGCCAGAAAGGAGATATTTTTAAAAAGCTGTTTTTTGACGCCATTTTTCCAATATGGCGGCAACTTGCCGTTCAAATTTGAGGTGGCAAAGTCGATTTTCGTAAAGAGCACCTCGAAATCCGTAAGATTACCAATTTTCAGAATTCCCGGAGTACTGTACCGGCAACAGCTTTTTTTTGCACCAAATGACTGGACTATAAATCTACTTAATAATAATATTATTGGTAGCATTATATTTCTTACACTATATTTCCAAAATTGCGTTGATCATGATTTAATTTGCGCAATTTATGATAGAAACAAAGTATAAACTGATTTATTTTATTTCAATTTGATAACTTTTACTTTAATATTATCTATAGTAATTAATTCTGGAAAACTCTATTTTTTTTGTACTATCATTCATACACAATAAAAAAAAATTAACTTCAGAACAGGCATAATGTGTGCGAAATGCGCAATGTTCCCTTTGCGTGGTAATGTATTTTTCAGAAGCTGTTTTCAAAATCATAATATTCTAGCAATTTTATACATTTTTCTGTTCTATATGATGAATAATAATAATTTATTTGAATCTACATTTCATATATAACATTTTGATGTTTAGTATTAGCTGTATATTTCAAGTTTGATTTCAACATTAATAATTTGTAATATAAGGATTTTGTGTGTTATGTTATAAATTGTTATTTTTATCACTTACGTTTTAATATATCACTGGTTAGATTTTGCAATGTTAGTTATTTATGTTAAAGTCACCACCACTAAATACTTGTACTTACTTCTAGGAAATTATCACCTTCAGCTCTAAGAACCATTATAATCGCATATACGGGAATACAAGCTAATGATACAGAAGCGATAAACCAACCAAGTGCATAGGCCCAGCCTGGATAATGGTATTTTCCATTATGATATGTGGGCTTTTCGTAATCAATAAGCGAAAATATCCATAAAGACTGAAACAGGAAAAAAATGCAATGTCAAACTCTTTAATGATACTCTTATTAAAAAAATATTATCAAAAACAATTTAGCACAATAAGTAATGAAACCACACTTTAGTGATCGCATGGCTGCTCATTAGGCTTCATGTAGCTGTTGCTTTTATTTGACAGTTGCTAGCCTAAGGCGATTTTTGAATATCAATGTTAGCATTCAAATCTGCAACTAAGCTAGTACTAACAAGTTGTAAATTAATATCTGTCAACTACCATGAACTATCGATAAAGTGTTGATACATTATTCTTTATAATATCCTGAATTATGTTATAATATAATTATATTAATTATATTTGTGTTACATCATTCTTTATAATATACAGAATTATAATAGAATATAAAGAAGAAACATCTTGTTATCTAACATCGTTTTTTTATATTTGTCCGGTTTATAGGTTATATTTTCTATCTGACAACCTTATAAATACGCCTGTTTGTATACCACCCACATGGCTTTTTTAATATTTAGTATGGAAAGTCCTTCATAACATGGCCTTGGCATAACAATTTTCTGTTATGCGGCGGAATTGGTCCCATAAACTATTTTCGTTGCAGTGTTCATTTCATGTGTCTAAGAGTGGCAGTACGCACGTTGCCTGTTAACAATCGTTGTCAATGTTTTCTTGATGTCGGCTCTCAAAGTGCTGGTAGTTTCAAACCGCCAAAATGATACAGGGGCGTTAGGGGCTGGTTGTAACAGATTCGTTTAAATTCAATATATCTTGATATCCACTGATTATATTTTTACTAAACAAATATGGAAAGTTGCTGTAATTATTCCCCTACCTAATCAAATAAAAAAATCCACAACCGTTGTTTATAATTACACAATTAATCATTATCTAAAAAAATGCAGCGTTACAACTTCCAGGCGAGTTTGGGGCCAGTTGTAACGTCTATCAATGCAAGTAGTAACGACAACAAACTACATTATTATTTCTGTTAATTAATTCTCTTCTTATTTTTAAAAAAATTGACCTGTTTCTATGTAATTCTTTTCATAAATCAACACCTACAACAAATAAAACATATAATGTCTCCTATAGTATAAAATTTCATCATAAATCAACGTAAACTACTACAAATATCATAATACAAATGATAGATATAGTGTCTCCTGTAACACAATTTACATTTCCCTACATCTTACAAACTATAAATTTCACCCAATCTCCTTCACTTGAAGCCGCAAGGTCTGGTTTCAACTGTGTATTTTTTTTTACTTTAATCATGATAACTTTCTAAGGCGGTTGTTCGTTTTTTATTTTTTTTTTCGGTTTTGAGATTTTTTGATATTATGAAAGCTAAAAACCTTAAAATTATTAAAAAAAAAATCATCTCAATATCTATTTTTTTGACGAAGTTATAATTATATATATATATATATATATATATATATATATATATATATATCTATACGTATGATCCTCTGAAAGCGTTTTTTATCGCTCCGCGAGCTATTGTATGCCAGCTGCCTCTTTTTCATTATAATACCTTATGCACATGACCTTTTTAATGTGTCACCATCTTTGAAAACCATGGTGTATTATTACATTAGTACATTAAATTAAATAGTGTATTTAGTAAATTATATTAAAAACTTTAAATACGTTTTTCTCAAATTGACTTTTTTCAATGCGGTGCCACAAATTAAAAAAAAAACTACAAGTCGGATCGACTTGCATTTTTTTTATATTGTTCACTACTGCAATACCTAGTCTCCCTACCTCAAACAACTTGATAACATTGCTTCTCGCCCCAAAACAAGGCCTTTTTTGACACTTTTTTTTTTTAAATAGCTGCTATTTATTTTCTTCTTGCTTTTTTTATTTTATTTTGGTAGGGGGACTGGATTCAAACTTCTTCTTCAACGTAGTTTCTTTTTTTTGTTTCGGGCGATGCGCAACGGATTTATCTGTGGCACCGCAAAAGAGATCGATTTTGCAAGACCGACCATGGCGTCCCCTGGTTAAAAAATGACGGCGCAAAAAAAGAAGGAAATTACGTAATATTCTATGATCTTGTGATTTCTGTTTAAAAAAAAACGCATGTCTCTATGATAAATACATTTCGAGAAAAACAAAAACAAATACCTTGCATTTTTTTAAAAAAAAAGAACAACCCCCTTAAGCAATATAACAAACACAAAAATTGTTACACTTCATCAAACATTAATAAATTTGGACAAAATATTGGCATAAAATTAAAAAAATTTGGGACAAATAGGATATATAAAATTTAAAATTATTGGGTAATAATAACTCAAATCAAAATTTGATGATAGATCAATTTCGGGACCGATTCTGCCACATAACAGAAAAATGTTATGCAAACGCCATATTATAAAGAATTTTCCATTCGGGTGGTATACAAACAGGCATATTTCTCAAGTTGTCAGATAGAAAACATAACTTAGAAACCGCACAAATGTCAAAAAAACGATGTTAGATAACAGGATGTTTCTGACCGTCTTTATAACATATGAGTGATTATTTTCAAACCTCAATATGTTTTACGTAAAATAATATTTTATAATTGTAATAAAAAGCAAAGATATTTAGTAATTATTATGATTAAACTGTATAATGTCAGAAAAAAAAGGAAAAAAAAAGATTACGCAGTGGTGATATTTATTTTGTTGATTGCGAGTATTTATGAATCAAAATATTCATTTATGTCATTTAAAAATACGTTACATTTTTACATACGATTACATAAACATTATTATTTATTAATCCGATTCCATTTACTTAGACAGTAATGAAGATATAGACCACTTAAAGATATGTCTATTTATGTGATTATGTAACTTAAAGATATATTTGTTCCGAGAATTTTAATTTCGAGTGTAATATGTGTTAACTAGCGCTTATGTAAAAATTCCGGTATTTTTGAGGCAAATACCGATATTAATACCGCCGAAAATTCGGTATTTAGGTATATCGATATTGAATTCTCTAGTGTGTGTGTATGTGAGCCGAATTTTGACTTTTCGGCGATGTTTTCTTAAAAAACGGCTAGACCGATTTTAAAAATTTAAAAAGCATTAGATGTAACTCGATAAGAATCAGCGTTTTACAGTTTTGCACGATGATCAGCAAACATAAATCGATTTTAAAAATTCAAAAACTGTTTAAAATATAATGCTTGAATAATGGTACATATTAGTTTTTGATAAAGCTTGGTCGGGCCGTTTTCATGTAATTGAATGTTGAAAAATCAACGATTTATATCAAACTTTTTTGACAATAGACATCATGGTCTTATAGACTATAATAAAATAATATAAAAAATAATAAAACATTACGGCTGCACGTGAAGTCAATTTCGGCATCAACGTTTTCTTAAAAACTGTTGATTCAATTTCAAAAATTTTTAAACTGTAATTCGATGAAAACTACAATTTTTAAGTTTTGTGCGACGATCGGCCGATCCGTTTCATTGCAAAAATTCTGATTAGATTTTTAAAATTCAAAGACTATTCGAAATATCTTATTTGGGAATCGTGCAAGATAGTTTTGGACAAAGATTGGCCGAGCCAATATCACAGCCCTATAACAAGTCGTTTAATTTTGAAAATTTATCAAAGTTTAAAAAATGTGATCAAAAGTCGATTTTGCGATGTGATGAGTTAAAATTTGAATTTTACTCATTAAAATGTCATTGGAATAAACTCGATAAAAAGGTGCCGCGGTTAGGTTTTCGAGAAATTCGGCCAATCCATTAGAAATGGCTTTGGAGTTAGCAAAAAAGTAAGCGGATAACAAAACTTCTGCAGTTGTGTAACAGGTATTATGCATAAATAATGCCATGATCACGTGCATGATATATGTAATCGTACTAAAATTTTCTTATAGCAAATGCAAATATTCCACAAAATAATTTATTGACACTTACGGGACGGCACCGATTTCAAAACAATCTACTGAACCGGCTGTAAACTTGATTTCATTGTGTATGTTATGCAATTTGTTTGACAAAAAATTGTGGTCATTGAAGGACATACATTTATAGTATTAATTTATTTTTGATCATTTTTTAAAGAATAGTAACGTTCAAAACAATTTCCAAAATGCATAGCTGGTAGATTTTGACATGATTTACAATAAAATGTTGTTTGCCGCCTTTCTCCTGGTGATTTTCTGTCAGAACAGACAATACAATCCCTTTTTCTTTCTCTCGCATTTAGAATATGCCACTGATTAGTCAGTATATTTGTTCATTTTGGTTTGTTTTTTCTATTATATTGTCTAATAATTCATTTGTAAAATATAAAGTAAAATAATTTATTGGATGTCTTATATTGCTTGGTATTTGTAGTCGGGGTGTTTGTTGATGTATGTCAAACTCGATTATTGAAGGAGAATCGGTACATTCGCTAATGTCTTTCCGCTCTTCATTTAATTTGTTCAACTTCTTTTTCCTTTTGTTGGTTGGATAATGCCATCATCACATTCATCACTATCTTCGGTGCGAATAGTAATTTCGTAAAATTTGTCTGTTTGAATGTCTATTTGAAACTCATCTTCACTACTCCTTAATTCACAAAATTTACCTGTCGTTTTGACATATTTAAAAGCGCTCGGTCGTTTTTAATATTAAAAAAAAGACTATATAGCAAAGAAAAAGGCTAAAAATACTACTAAAATAACTTAAAATTATTTTCAAAATACAATACTGTTTATCACTGCTATATGTAATTTATTCAACTTTTCGATACAAACTGAGTCATTGTATAAAATAGCCTATTCCTCACAGAGTATGTTTGTCCACTGAGGTAGACAGCCGGCCCCAAAGAGTTAAGTTTCTTTAAAAAAAATGTTTCGACGTTTTTCAATAAATTTATCATGACGATAAAGTCATGACAAGATAGTCCTACAAAAATTGGTTGAATTATATAAAATAACTAGCTGTAGTAGCATTTTGCCTTAAGGAAAGTTGCATGATACGTATACATA